TAAAAAATAAAAAGGTATAACAAGCGGGATACCTTAGTTAGAGCAGTGAAACCTTTAAGGCAAGAGATGCGGGCAAGTCAGTCGCTAGAACTCCCAGATGCTAATAACTCGCTAGAAGGGGTAGAAAGCCTGTTCTTTTGGTACAAATCCTCGTTCTTGAATGAAACTAGCAATTGATTTGTATGATGCACTTTGATAGACTTAGACCTAGACATAAATAATTTTACTATTTCTAAAAAAACCATTAATATATAAAAAAAAGTATAATAAACATATAACAGAGAAGTTATGGAAGGTCTAAAGCCTAAGGTCTTACCAACTCTAATATGACATTGCAGTAACTTTAATATATTAAAAAAAATATAATAAACATATCTAATATGACATTGCAGTAACTTTAATATATTAAAAAAATATAATAAACATATAACAGAGAAGTCATGAAAGGTCTAAAGCCTAAGGTCATACCAACTCTAATTTGACATTATAGTAACTTTAATTTGACATTGCGTATTCATCAAAACATAGCCATTCTAAAGCAAATAAATATAAACAACACAAATCTAATCCTCAAAAGCAAAAGGAATATAACCACTAATGGAGAAGAAGAATCCATACAGTCCCAACAATGGTGGGTGGGTGAAGCAAGGCGATAGAATAGGGCAGAGTCGTTGCTCTCCGGCTGCTAGCATCACTTCTGCTGTGGAAAAGGATGTTTCTCTTCTTCCTTGTATCTCTCTTAGTTTTCTTTTAAAATTTTGAAGATATTTCCTTCACTCATTGATCATTCGACAATAATGTTATCTTTTTCTAATTTCTGCAACTTCTCTCCTCCTAATTTTCTTCCTATTTTATCTCTTTAATTGTAACCGATTGTTGTTTACGATTTTATTTTTCTGATATTTATGAGGGCAAATATATTTCTATTCTTAAATTAATGATTTCAAATTTAATCTACTGAACTGACGGGCCAACTGTAGTTTTTACCTAAAAATCATGAAGGCCAACATTATAACAACTAATTTATTTATTTTTTAGGTATTAGATGGCAAAAAAACAGCGGGGCCATGGCCCCTCCTAGCCCCAAAAGGGATCCGCCCCTGAATTGTATGCTCATTACTCAAATGTGCATGACTTTCTTGGAATGTTGGGAAGCCTAGATTGCCTCCACATGGCATGGGGTTGTTGTCCGAATGCCCATAAAGGGCCATAAAGGGCAATACACCCGAGGCAATCATGGTTATCCAACCATTATAATTGAAGCGGTGGCCTCACATGATATGTGGATATGGCATGTATTCTTTGGCTCAGTTGGCTCCCTCAATGACATTAATGTTCTTAACATGTCACCGTTACTTGACGACATGTATAACGAGACTGCACCCGACTCATCCTTTCAAGTAGCTGGAACATCGTATAGGAACGAGTATTATCTTGTGGATGAGATCTATCCGGAGCGTGCTTGTTTTGTGAAGTCATTGTCTTGTCCAAATGATCACAAAAGATTGAAGTTTAAGAGAGTTCAAGAGAATGCGAGAAAGGATGTTGAATGAGCATTTGGAGCTTTGAAAAAACGTTGGCATATTTTTAAATATCCCGCACCTTATATGGAGGAGAAGAAAATGAGTGAGGTGATGTATACTTGTATCATATTGCATAATATGAATCTCGAAGAAAAAGAAATGCAATATGTGAGTATAACGAAAACGAGATTGTTCCACCGACACAAGCTTTTGAGGTTGGAAGCGCGGAGTACATGTCAAGGAGGGAAATAGTTCATGATATTGAGACGCATCATGTTCTTCGTAGGGACTTGACGAAACATATTTGGAACATCGATCTTAACGCGGAACCGGTCGACGATTTGGAAGGTCAATTTTCCGATGAAGATGTCCTTTAGGTCTATCTAGGTTTGGTTTTAGTTTCTATGTTTTTTATTTTAAATTCTATTTTTTTTTTGGGTATGTTTGTTGTATTTTTGAATTTCTATGTTTTTATTTTAAGTTTAATGAATTTTTAGTTTTTTAAAAATGCTATGTTTGAAATATTTATTTTGTATAGTAAAAAAAAAGGTAGCATGACAAGTGTGGCAACCCGTGCCTAACAAATGACAAATTTTAGCTAAAGTGTGGCAAGTGTGATGTGGTGCCTACGTGGACAGTGGCAAGTGTGACACCACATCCACTAGTCTAATTAACGTATGTTTAATTAATTAACAAAATTAATTTCAGATTTAAGAAGAGCCTAAGGCTCAAGGTTCTATCATTGTCCATTAAATGTGTATTAACCCAGGCCTAATCCATGCCTAATTGGCTAACCTAACACCACCGTCTCAACTTAAATGCTTTTGTCTCTTACTTAATCAATTTTTATATAGTTTATTGACAAGCTTATAAGCCACTAAAAGTTCTATTTCCTTCTTATATGGGACAAAGTTACAACAATAACATATATTTTCTATTCAAACAAAATAATACCCCAAATTGAAACAAGAAAAAAATTAAGAGAATTTTGATATTTAAACCAGGAAGGCAAAATATGACATGTATTTGAAAAATGTATAAACTTGAATATTTCATAATGAATACTAATCGGATCTAATTTGTGGGCATTGAACTAAAGTCACGAACTAACCACTTTTTGTATTAAGGCTAGACAAAAACTACCACACATCACATCTAAATATAGGTCCATTCTTACCATTGTGTTGAAGAACTTTATCAACTCTAAAAAAATATGAGCTCACATAGATAATGCCAATAAAGAATATTTAGTAGTATTCCACTACAAAAACTACTTACATTATTAAGAATAAACATTCATCCCTGAATCATCAACATAAAACACACTATTAAATATCCTATGAGTAAGCATACATGTGTGTTTGTGTTGCTTCGATTTTTCCCAAACTAATTTGCCTAGTGAACCTAGACCATGGATCACCAATGTTGCTTGGTTTCCACCGCATGGTGATTGTTGTGTTGACTTTAAGCTTATTTTTCTATGTTGTGAAGATAACTTGCTCTTTATTGAGGGATTTTGTCAAAAGATAAACTATATTTTCTTCCGACTCTATATAAATAATTCCATTTTTAGTAAGTCTCTTGTTGTTTTATGTTTATCCTTGATATCTCTAGACTTGTCATTGTGATTTGTGCTCTTGTTAGAGTAGTCACACAATCACTATGAATCCAAATGAGAGCGACAAGCTTAGGCCATATAGGAATACCTTATAAGAAGCTTTTAAGCTACTAAATTTCTTCAACAACTTTGTTTATAGCTACAAATTTTGCTTCCATAGTAGAATGGGTATACATAGCTTGCGTAAATGATTTCCAAGAAACAACAACTCCATTAAGTATGAATAAATAGCCACTAGTGGACTTACTTTCAGAAGTGTTTGAAATCCAGCTTGCATAACAATATCCTTCTATCACACGAGGATATTTTGTGTAATGGCAATGCAACCCATAGTTCATTGTATATTTCAAGTGTTTAAGAACCCTAACTAAAGCATACCAATGATCTTTCCCGAGATTGTGAGAGGATCGACTCAATCTGCTCACACTATATGCCAAATATGGTATTGTGCAATTCTTTATATACATCAAACTTCCAATAACTTGAGTATACTCTAGCTAAGCTACACTATCACCTAATTTTTTCTTAAGATGACAAGAATGATCAAATGGGGTAACAACCGGTTTGTCATGTCCAAACTTTCTAAGGACCTTTCATATATGATGGGATTATGTAAGAGTATAACCTTAAAGGTTCTACTAAATTTTACACCAATAATTACATTGGCTATCTTGATATCCATATCAAAAGAGGATTGTAACATTTTCTTGGTTTGATTGATGACAGCTAACAAAATTCCCATAATAAGCATGTCGTTCATATATAAGCATATGATAACTCTGATATCCTTAATATTAAAAGAGGATTGTAACATTTTCTTGGTTTGGTTGATGATATCTAACGAAATTCTCATAATAAGCATGTCGTCCATATATATAAGCATATAATAACATAGACATTCTTGTACAGCTTGGCATAAACACATTTATCACACTTATTTATTCTAAATTCATTTTATGAAAATGTATTATCAAACTTCTAGTTTCATTGTTTTGGAGCCTTTTCATTCAATTAAATTTATTCATCTAATTCACCATTCAAGAATAAAATTTTCACATCTATTTGATATATTTCCAAAACTGTAAATAGTTAATGCTATAATGTCTTTATCTGTAACCCTTCATAAAATTTTAAAATATCATATATACTCTTCTTAAACATCAAAATATCATATATGTCCTTAAATATCAAAATATCATATATGTTCCTCTTGAACATCAAAATATCAATGTTAATATCTAAAATATCCTCTATGTACAAAATGAAAGTATTCAACAACAAAATCTAAGCAATCAATGCATACATTAAGCGGAGAGGGGCAAAGGGCTGAAGATGAAGCCTTTTGTTTGTCAAGAGAGCAACATTTCAACAATTTAAAAGTAGACGTACAATTATTATAGACATACGATAATATGGTTAAAATTTTTAATTATTATAATAGCTCTAAGATATAAAAATGATTATAAACTATTAAAAACATTGTAAAAAAAGATTTAGGCAAATATGATATTTTAAAGGTTTATAAAGGATAAATATAATATTAAAAAATTAAGTTGGACAAATATGATATTTTAATGTTTAAGAAGGGCATATATCAAATTCTCTCAAATTTTTTTATCCATTAATCATATAGTTAAAATTGTAGGTTAACATTTTCAAATAAACGGATTCAGGAGGTTTTATGAATCTCAAATACACCTTGGATAAGTGTTCACAAATTTCCACTTTAGTTAATTTTTATCATTTTACTAATTTGAAGAAAAACTTATGACTTATGATACCTATCTTTGTATGCGTAGAAATTAAACCAACCAAAACCAAACCACTTCCATGACAAAAAAAAAAAAAGGGAGAAAACAGACTCTTGAATTACTTCTTCTCCATTTAGTTTCCCTGGCTAGTTGAAACAGCATATATGAGTATGAACAAGGCTAGGTGGTAGAGATACAAAGAGCATTAAAACCTTGCTCTATACAGAAACTTACAATAAACATACAAGACAACTACCTACTACAGTTTTTGTGAATATATATGTATACATGCAGAACTGAAAAAGCTAATTAATTAAGCAAGGCCAGAGAAACCTGGAAAACTAATTACATTCACTGTGATTGTTGGCCTAAGCGACTTCACTGCCTTTTCTTGGATACTTGGCTTCTGCTTCCAAACCTAATTATAAACACAGGTTAGATGTTAGAACCAAAAGTAGTGACATTGTCTGCATGATAATTGTCTAAGTGTGTGTATGCATCCATACTTACTATTTATGGGCATTTGCTTGTAAGCATTTGGGGAAAATGCGTTTGCTGTTTCCATTTCAGAAGAAAGGAGGAACTGCTCGTATTGTGCTTCCATGGATAATATGTCTTCATCGGTGTCAATGGAATCAGGAAGCATATCAGCAATGTCACTGCTATCGTAAGCATCTGGTGTGTATGTGTTTCCAAAGAAACCATCTTCACCCTGCTGTTGGCTGAGCCAGTAGTCATGAAACCAAGTTGAAGTCGTCACCAGTTGCCACCATTCTGGGGAGAAATCCTCCACCTGACGAACAGCAGCAGGGACGAACAATGGCGCATCTGGGTTAAGTGTAGATCGTCGTTGTGAAACCAATGCCATTTCTACTTTCCAATGAAGTTTTTTTCACCCACAACGATTTCACGAATATATAGGAAGTTACCTGGTAAATGAAAAACGCATAAGTTGAATAAACCGGGTCAATCAGTGAACCGAAATGAAATTAGATTTCATACACAGTAAAGTGGTAACAAATCACTTAACGTAACAAACATTACAAGTACAAACTTCAACAATCGAAGACCAAAATCCGACGATTTTCCATGTCAATCAGTCAACCAAATAGTCCAAATCATTTAATGATGGGTTTCGAGACAGAAAAAAAAGTAAATAAATAATCTCAGGTATTGATCAATCGATCATTACAAAGATCAAGTCTATCAAACAGAAGACATTTGAATAAACTTTATGAACGAAGATCAAAATCCGATAATATTCCAAGTCAATTGGTCAACCGTCAACCAAATAGTCTAAATCAACTTTAAAATCATTTTCGTGGCAAAAACTGTAAAGTCAAAGTAGATCTCACGTTCTATGATCAAAATTTTAGGTCATAATCCATGATTCTACTTAAAAGTCAAGCATATAGAATTAAGGTGACCTTGATGATCGAAGATCAAAGTCCGTTGATTCTCCAACTCAATCAGTTCCAAAAATAAACACATACTATGGAACCTTGGAACAATTTCCAAATTAGTTTTAATTTGAATAGACTCAAATATATGATGAAAGATTCAAATTCGAGCGAGTCAAAGTAACAGCGATTATACCTTTAAAGATTTGGAGCAAAAATATCTGAAAGTAAAACTCTACGATCCAGACAATTTCGTAGCAGTCTGATCGAAGCGTGGTGGTATTTATAGCAAATGCATCCGGAGGTTCGGGTACATCCGAGCCTGAGGTTCGAACCCGAACTAACCTAACCAATAGTCAAGGTTCAACAATCAAACAGGCAAACGCGTCTCATAATTTACCGTGTGTCGAGTCTCTAAAATCTAAATTAAATTCATGGAAGTGATGGCATGGTGCGCGGTACCCACTCGATTGATGATAATGAGGAGAGGGACGGATGGGATGACGTGACTTGGTTTGATCTGACGGTTAAGATTTGTTAAATGATGAGACGTGAGTTGGCTTGTGGGGTCCACAGTTAGGCGCTCGATATGGCCTCTCTCATAATCCGCGTTCCGCACATGGTTCCGACTGATTATTGTTGAAAATGATGGATACTTTGGAACTTATCTCGTTATGTGTTATTTTTAATTTTTTATAAATGACTACTCTTCTCTTTGATTAAAAATTAGTAAAACTATATAATACTATTTTGAAATAAATGACAAATAAACAGTTGTTATTTGTTAACTCTGTTAAATGACATATTCTTGAAGGAGATGGTCAACGGTGCATTTGGATATGAGTTTTGTACAATCCAACATTATAACGATTGGTTTTGATGTTTAGATAAGCAAATTTTACTTCTTCAAGTGCAAAGTAATAAAATTACTGTCAGAGACTAGGATCGAAATGTTTATGTCTATTTCTTCTTATCGTATCGTTTATAATTTTCAGAAACAATATAACCATCATTTGAATTTTTTCACTAAATATTCCACAAATAAATAACAAAAACAAAATGTTTATGTCTTATTATTATAAGAGCCCCCAATAAATTGTTTCCATTATTTACAAAACAGCCTACCGACTATCTTGGCAGTACACTAGATCTATGATCAATGATTTATTATTACTAACCAAAAACTTGAGCATGTACAAAACTCCCCATAATCTCCTAGGGGGGGCAGGCTACTGAGATACACTAACAACCTTCTTAACCGCGAGCTTGAATATGTTAGTGGGGATTAGGTCAATCCTCTTGTTAACCTAATAATCTATCATTCCCAGAATTTTGTAGAGCCACTTTTTAGAATCCTTAAATTCTTTTGTCAATCTATTCATTCATAGGTTTCAACACTATCGTATAATATGAGTATCCATGAACGCAAATCGTGTTCCCTTATCAACCAATGAAAAAACAATATATTCATAGAGAAATATACTTGCCCAATCAAACAAAAAAACCAATATTTATAGACAAATATACACTAGTTGAGTAATCCGATATGTACCTGGTCAAGCGTCCACCAAGGCAGTCTTGCGTCCCCATCAGCGTTGGTGCCTGGTGGCAAAAAATCCGACCAGCATAATTGTTCTAGACTATGTCACCAACACAATGTCATTGGTAATAAACATACGCCAATGCACCCTATCTTGTATCTCGTCCAAGATCAATGCGAAGATACATGATATGGGTTTAGAGATATAACCCAATCTCTACCGAGAACTAGACACATGTCATAGACTAACTGTACATATTCCAAGGTCCTCCAAATTGAATCACAGTCCACATATGTATTTTCATGTTCAATAAACACCATATGTTTTATCACTATATATTTCTCTATTAGGCATCTAAGAGAGAGGTGGATTGCCTCCATCGTTGATCTCTAAAGTATGCTCTCATAGATTTATGGTATGACTAAATAACTTAATACAATAATACCTATATAGTTGGCACAATTGTAGACATCACCCTTATTTTTTAAGAAATTGGGATGACAATATTGTGAATTCTCCACTTCTTTCACACGATTAACCACCCTTTATGTGTCCGTCTTTGAGAGTAGAAGCAAAATCCTCACATTGATTACCCAATTTGAATGTTGAAACAGGGTTCCATTGTGCGAGTTCAAATGCAAATTATGGTCCATATTAATTACCCAAATTGAATGAAACGGTGTTCCATTGTGCAAATTAAGGTTCCATATGGATGCAAATCCTCATATTGATTGTACATTTTGTGTTCTTATGTGTTATAGAATTAAACAGGACAAAACTTTTATGAACTAAATGAGGTCCGAAGATTATGTAGTTGATGAAGACATGATCAGGGTGTCAAATCAAATTGCAAAACTAGACAAACCAGGTGGTCACTCTTATGCCAAATGCCAGATTCATTTCTACTTAAAAAAAATTAAGGCAAACGAAAGAGTTGAAGTGATGTAGAAATTAACCAAATTAGCAATAGCATAGTCACTAAATTTAATAAAACTACAAGCGTTGACAGTCTTTAACAGGCTCATTACAGATATCAGATTCAGTATCACCACATTCAGAAGCAGAGCTACCATCGATCATGTCCTTCTCTGGAGAATCAGGTTGCATTTGCACACACTCAGCAACCGAGTCAGACAGTAAGTTGTTATTTTCAGAATCATGATGACTCCTATTCGATGGTGTCAACTCCCCTTTCTTCACAACATTAAACACAATCCCATTACACATCATCTCCGGCTGCAAAAGATCACCTTCAGCCACCATGATGCTTCTATGAACTCTGTTATTCAAATCCCTCTGATCCGATTCCAATTCCGGTGGAATCACCCTCAAGTTCTTCACTCTGGAATCAAAATCCAAGTTCTGGACAAAATCAACAAACTGATCAGCTGAAGCAGTCCTCATCAAGGGTCCACCGGATCTTGTCCAAGTATTCAACTCTGCAGTCTCTGATTCGCTGTCACTTCCGTCATGGTGCCGCCAGTTCCTGCCACCATGGGGGAGAGGGGAAACAATGTCTGCAAGGTCTTCTAGTGACCCTGTTGAGTTCTCACGTGCCATGCAACTCCATGAAGGGATTCTTTTTGATGCATTAAACCGGGGATGAGAAGCTGAAGCTGAAGCTGCTCTTTCTGCGCTTCTTTTAAGTCTACGCATGTGGTTTAGAATTGCAACACATTCATCAAGAACAAGCTCGATACCACAATTGGCTTTAATGGCTGAAAGCTTCTCCCATGTGCATCTTCTTCCTTGGTTTGCAGCTTTCTGAAGCTCCAAGTGAGAAAGGTTTTGTATGATCTTTGAGTACTGGATGACACAATTAAGACGGTTAATGGGTTAAGCACTTAATCAGTTAATCTTCACATCTATACATGGCTGTTTCTTTTTTACTTGATCTGGACAGAATGTCTTGATGGGCTAAAGCCAAAAAAAGAACCTGGTTTAATTGTGAATTTTTTATTCGGAATGCAAGGATAAAATTGTCTTATAGTGTTATTCAGACGGTTTATTCAGTCTAGAAAAGAAGCAGAGCTTAGGTAGACAGACAACATCACACATTCAGTCACTATACCTATACACATGACATAACTTTCTAGACTTGAATAAAGAAAGTTAAACCATCGGAATGAGACCAAATGACAATTTACCCTTACATTCCAAATAACAAATTTCACAATACTCATTAAATTTTAATGTGTGTGTGTGGGTGTGGGTGTGTGTGTGTGTGGGGGGGGGGGGGGGGGGGAGGGGTGTTTGGAGGAAAAAATTAAAGAAATATAGGTGAAGGGTATTTTGTCCGGATCAAGTAAAAGATAAACAATGTAAGGTATCAAACGGAAACAGCCCATAAGTCTAAGGTATCAAAATGTAAACTTTTTATAGATATCAAATATGTACCTGAGCTAAGGTGGCAGGCATAACAATGGTGACGTCACCCTCCCATTCTTGAGCAAATAGCTTTGCAAGTCCTCCTAAGGGGAAACCAAGTTCCAAGACTTGGTTGCATCTGTATTTCACCTCCATTTCGACTAGATGAGCAAGCTGCAGGGGGTTAAACTGTTAGAACTGTAAACTGTAAACGTCTATTTGAAGTAACAAATTGATGACATTAACATACCTTTGCAGCAAAGTTGCCTCCATAAGCTCGCACACATTCTTTCAGTCTCAATAGGGGAGAAATATGAGGATTCGCTTGACTAACAATGAAATGATTTACATTGAAGAGTTCTTTTAACTGGATCATGGGTAAATCCATCTCCAAGCTACCATCTCTCCATCTGCGAGTAGTACTGCCATTAGCTTCTTCAGGGCCCCAATGAAATGGGGGGTGATAAGGAACAATTTCTCCACTTCTATCTTTTGCCATGAGTTCTTGAGCTTCAAAGAGACCAGGAAAAGCACAAGACGCAGTAACTGCACTCCATATAACTACATGAGGTGAAGTCAGGTAGTTAAGACATCTTGGAGGTTCATGTTTTCTTGGAGAACATACTGTTATTCCAAGAACACGACCTGTCATGTCATAAGCTTCTTGAAATGTAAGATTATTTGTCAAGTTTCTTAACAGAACTTGTAATCGTCTAATGTCATGAACTGCTCCCAATGTCATAACCCTTTTAAAAATATTAAAAATTCCACCCATTTGGTCCAAAAACTGCAACGAATGCAGTGAATCTTCAAAGAAACTCTGAAGCTCTGGCCATGACCTGGTGGCAACAACAGCACATATAAGGGATCCAACGCTAGACCCTGCAATTATTCTGGGTAAAAGCTTGTGTTCTACTAATGTTTTCACTACACCAACATGAAAAGCTCCAAGAGAAGCACCTCCACTTAGAAGCAAAGCTGTTCTTCCAAAAGCATGACGTGTTTCATGCATGAAAGCAAGTTTCTCCTCCAAAAGAATCTCCTCACAATCAGAATCACAAACCATTCTCAATTGTGTCGAGACTTCATCGATGTATTCTTTTATAAGCTTTGGAACTTGATGTCTACACTTGTGAAGCTCTGGATTGCACATGTTACCAAGATTTCTGACAAGGTCAGCTCGCATGTAAAATACAATATCTCTAAGACAACCTTCTTCACGACGGTGCTTGAGTTCTTGAAGTTTGTTCCTCACAAGTTCTTCGTCATAAAGATTGCATTCGTTTGTTCTAGGAGTTTCTTTATCCAGCATCTTAGCAGCATGAGCCCATTCTTCATATGTTACTGCAGCCCTCATCATGTTCCTCCAGAATTTCCTCCTGTATGCAATCTCAGCCCTTGTTTTGACATTAGCGCACCGTTTAAGTAAGAATGCCATTAGTGTTACCATCAGTAGTATCCCTTGCGGGTTGCGTGGATGAAACCATGAGATCACAGGGATAACGGTGGAAGAAGCATATGCCCTGATGCAACGAAAGTAATGAAGAAGCAGGTGAGAGAGATGATGCCTCAAGTGTGAGATTGACTTGAAGAATAGAACTTTGAAAGCAATAGTCCGGCCAAGGGTTGTTGAAGGTCCGATTGAGAACGCATCAACATTGGCCTCATTACTTATATGATCCATCCTGTAAGCACAATACTTTATACTGATATGTGTTCTATTAACAGCCCAGATAACCCAGATTTGAATCTTTTCTAAATCGAAGTCTGTCGCAACCGACAGAAATGATATCGAATGCACAGCAATTAATCATGGATAGCTGATCTAGAACCACCACGATTTTCTAGAATCTCATCTCGTGGCGACTGGTGAAGTAAATTACTCCCCAGATCATCAGAAAAATGAAACCGTGGTCCATGAAAAATCCAATATAGAAAACTTGCAATATACCCACAAAAAAAGAGCTGAAGAATTGATGAGATCTCCGGACTCCTGGAATGAAAAATGACTCTCTAACCAGCTTTCAGAAGTCCTACGCGAAAATTCAAATTCAAATTAAAAAAAAAGTTGAAAAGTGTGAAAGCACACAAGCTGGTAGGAGACTAATGGTGGATTAAATTGAATGGAATTGACTGTACGTGGCCATAAACGTCGGTAAGAGGACGATAGGATGATGAAGATAAAAGTAGAGTGGCGGTCACGACGAGGTACAACGTGTCATCTGTTGATTCAAGTGTGTATTCATATTATTCAATTCTATATTGGGAAGATGATTGCAGAAGATATAAAGAAGAGATTTTAATTGCGGATAAGATGAAGATATGCATCAACAATCAACATGACAGTAGTATCAGATAACGAAGGGTTGGTAAAGGAAGGGGATGGGTTTTGAACTTGTGGCTGTGGCGGTTGAAATTAGGGTTCTGAACGGGACTCCTCTGACGGATTTGGGGAAAAGGTAAGGATTATTGGCGCCACTTGTGTGCTCGGCTGTTTGAATCTTATCCTGTTCTAAGATAAAGACCCACCGTTGTTTTAACTTATAAGAATAAGAATATCCCGTATCTTAATAAAACAATCCTTCGCTTTCCTACATGGCAGCTTCTCCGGCTACAAAATTTCTAAGTAAACTACCTAATATACCCTTCAGCTTTTAAAACTCTCTATCTACTCATCCGTTAATTCCCCAAATCACGCCTCGATTTGCTTCGATTTCAATATATAAACTCAAGATTCAATGCGATAATAATTGATCTGATTGAAATAACTACGAAGAAATTAAATTTGAATCATGTGTCATGGAGTAATCTGATCATATGTTCATCAACGTAACTGAAATCAAATGATTTATAAGTTGAGGTATCCATTGTTAATATACACAGATAAATCGAATCAAACTCTATTGTAATTTGGGTATCAATCACTTTAACTTTTTAAGTCATGTTCATGTATGTACCAAACATCTTATTTTAATTTTGTTTCTGCATTTGTTTGCTTTAGTTCCAAGGACGAGAAGGAGATGATGAATAGTGGCATATGTTGCAGTGGAATTGAAAAAAAAAAATCTGAATTGCAATTGAAGAGCAATTTTTTGTTAATATGTCTGTGATAATTGATAATCAAAGAAGTAGAATGGATTATATATTTATCCTTCTTCTTCCAGAAAAGAAGATCAACCACTGCATTCACGATTTCATATACAAGTCTATAAAAAGTATTTCGTTTCTGCCAATCATTCTTCATATCTATTTAATTTAGGTTCGTATATGTATCCTTCTTCTTCCGGCTTTGTTTCGAACTACATACTTGATCAAAATTACTATGACTTCATGTTTGGTTGATGAAATTTGTACTTTTTAAGTTCGCATATTAAGTGTTTGATGAAATGTCTGAATAAGTTAAGTTCGCATATTGACACACATAACATAATTTTTTTTTGGTTTTTATTCAAAATGTCTGAGTAACACGATTCTGTACAACAACAAATTATTCTAATATGCTATTGTTTAATATCTTGAGTGAGCTTTCTTATCAAGGATAATCTGTCTAAAATGTCAAGGGCAAATCTATCTACCCTCCACAATAGAGAAATCACGGGGTTCTCAAGGTCTAATGCATTTCCTACTTCCTTGAAAAATTCAAGGCCAGCTACCATTCTTACTTCTCTAAAAATCCATGATCTTCAATTTCTAATAATTTTCTTAGATTTGACTGCATGGTAGTATAGTAAAGTTCTTTCATTGGAATTTACTAATTTATTTGTATTTAACAAGTATAATAGTAAATTACTTTCATTCGCATTTGTCGCAGCTTGATTGGAAAATTCTTTTAGTTATGGTAATCGGTTTTTTGTTTGCAGGACTTTATGTGCTTATATACCATTTGTAGCAAAAGGAGGTCAAGTATAATTGGCAACAACTTGAGTGTCTTGAAGGTGTTGCAGTTTATTCACATTTATTTGTAGGTTATCAACACGAACTTATGGGTTTGATTCAGTTTTCCATTTTTCTTATATCACTAATATATCTTGAAGCTATTATAGGATTTTATAATATTATTGTAATTTTAGCATTTTACTTTCATATTGTTATTTTAAATTATAACATCATACTTTTTATTTTATTTTATTAGAGCATTATACAGGGTGGTGGGATGAAACTTCTATGGGGGACTCTAGACATGCAAGAATAAGCAATGTACCCTTATTTTCCAATTTAGTTTATTTTGAATTATTGTCGGTGTCTTTAGCCTTGACTATTATTAAAATTTGGATTTTTTTTTGAAGAGTTTCCACTTAAGATTATTTGTATGTTTTCTTTAGGAAGACAAAAGTTTCGGTGAATATATATATAACATTTTTTTTGCCACAAAAAATAAATTAACACAAATCTACCATCTTAAGAACTACTAATTCAAACCAATTATTTGAGCAAATTCATTCTTGCGTGTAATGCCTATAAGTGCATTTGAGCAGGTAAAGATCCAATGACATAGTATATATTTTTTATCACATCTTTGAATTTCTTGGTAATTGGTCCTATAGTTTTTTTTTTCAAATATCCAATTATTTAGAAATCCATATAAAATTTTCATTGCTCATTTAATTGTAATATGATCGTGTAAATCATTTATCATATAAATTAAATTTTATTGCTTATTAATAATTTAAATTTTTTATAAATATTTTACCCGTGGTTCTCACGGGTTGTAACCTAGTAATAATAACAATTTTTGATAGCTAACATCATAATTAAACTAGTGAAAACCGCTACGAATACAATTTTTGATATTTGTATTTTTGTTAATTATTTGTTGTTTTCTAATTTTCTCTTCTGCAAACAATGAGGTCAAGAAAAAGAAAAGAGGTAGATGATTCACCCCGCCAAGGCCCAAGAGGTAAAAAGTTATCAATAGACAAAAAAGCAAAAAAGGAAAATTTAGTATTTATAATTGGTCTTAGGGACTAAAAGTGTCAAAGTGAGCAAAAAAATATAACAAAAATATGAAACATAAGAAATTTATTATTTTTAAAACCATTGGGCAAAAAAACATAAAATACAAATTTAGTAATCATAATTGATCTTAGAAACTAAAAGTATCAAAGTGGACAAAAAAGTAAGGTAAAAATCTGAAACATAAGAACTTTATTATTTTTTAGATTATTGAAAATTAAATATATATTTAATAGATAGTATCCGCATTAATTAATAAATTTTAATCAATTTATTATTAGAAGTTAATCTCAGGATTAATTTCAAGATTTCTGATCCTGATTTTGTGAATCTAAAGATAACGTCTCAAAAGATAAATGACATCTAAGTTTTTTTTTTAGAAACGACAAATATTATTAAGGGACCACCGCCTAACAAGGTGCTAGGCGGGCCCAGAAAATAGGAAGTTACAATTGAATTTGGATTACAAACAATTCAGTGGACAAATACACCAATCAGTCCATCTATAATGACAACCGGCTCTCCTGTGTCTAAGTCAAGTGAGTACAAGAGACTTAACAATATCTAGAATCTGGAAGTGGGAAGTTCGTATGCTCCTAAACACCCAGTCGCATCTTGTTTTCCATAGTAACCACACTACACCATAACAAACACTAATTAGGTTGTTTCTCCTTCTCCGACATCTCCCCAAGTTTTTACAAAACCGATAAGTTCCTTGATGGTTTGGAATTGTGGGTCCGGAATATCGCACCATTTAAATACCAGATCCTAAACAGTGCTCGCCACTGGGCAACAGATCAGTATGTGCTCCTGTAATGCCCGTAGATCCGAGCTAGTCAATTTAGAGATAATAGAGGTCGAAAACGACTTTTCGACAAAAGATTATTTAGAATAAATAATCTTAACCAAGTTGTAGAATATGTCTCAAGGGTTCCGTACATATAAAGAACGCCGAAATCCGAGTTATAACGAAGAAGTTATGACCCGTCGAAGTTTCGCGACGGAACCGGCACGGCACCGGGAAGCGTAAATAGTGAATTTACGATAGATCGAGAAGGAGATGATGAATAGTGGCATATGTTGCAGTGGAATTGAAAAAAAAAAATCTGAATTGCAATTGAAGAGCAATTTTTTGTTAATATGTCTGTGATAATTGATAATCAAAGAAGTAGAGTGGATTATATATTTATCCTTCTTCTTCCAGAAAAGAAGATCAACCACTGCATTCACGATTTCATATACAAGTCTATAAAAAGTATTTCGTTTCTGCCAATCATTCTTCATATCTATTTAATTTAGGTTCGTATATGTATCCTTCTTCTTCCGGCTTTGTTTCGAACTACATACTTGATCAAAATTACTATGACTTCATGTTTGGTTGATGAAATTTGTACTTTTTAAGTTCGCATATTAAGTGTTTGATGAAATGTCTGAATAAGTTAAGTTCGCATATTGACACACATAACATAATTTTTTTTTGGTTTTTATTCAAAATGTCTGAGTAACACGATTCTGTACAACAACAAATTATTCTAATATGCTATTGTTTAATATCTTGAGTGAGCTTTCTTATCAAGGATAATCTGTCTAAAATGTCAAGGGCAAATCTATCTACCCTCCACAATAGAGAAATCACGGGGTTCTCAAGGTCTAATGCATTTCCTACTTCCTTGAAAAATTCAAGGCCAGCTACCATTCTTACTTCTCTAAAAATCCATGATCTTCAATTTCTAATAATTTTCTTAGATTTGACTGCATGGTAGTATAGTAAAGTTCTTTCATTGGAATTTGCTAATTTATTTGTATTTAACAAGTATAATAGTAAATTACTTTCATTCGCATTTGTCGCAGCTTGATTGTAAAATTCTTTTAGTTATGGTAATCGGTTTTTTGTTTGCAGGACTTTATGTGCTTATATACCATTTGTAGCAAAAGGAGGTCAAGTATAATTGGCAACAACTTGAGTGTCTTGAAGGTGTTGCAGTTTATTCACATTTATTTGTAGGTTATCAACACGAACTTATGGGTTTGATTCAGTTTTCCATTTTTCTTATATCACTAATATATCTTGAAGCTATTATAGGGTTTTATAATATTATTGTAATTTTAGCATTTTACTTTCATATTGTTATTTTAAATTATAACATCATACTTTTTTATTTTATTTTATTAGAGCATTATACAGGGTGGTGGGATGAAACTTCTATGGGGGACTCTAGACATGCAAGAATAAGCAATGTACCCTTATTTTCCAATTTAGTTTATTTTGAATTATTGTCGGTGCCTTTAGCCTTGACTATTATTAAAATTTGGATTTTTTTTTGAAGAGTTTCCACTTAAGATTATTTGTATGTTTTCTTTAGGAAGACAAAAGTTTCGGTGAATATATATAACATTTTTTTTGCCACAAAAAATAAATTAACACAAATCTACCATCTTAAGAACTACTAATTCAAACCAATTATTTGAGCAAATTCATTCTTGCGTGTAATGCCTATAAGTGCATTTGAGCAGGTAAAGATCCAATGACATAGTATATATTTTTTATCATCACATCTTTGAATTTCTTGGTAATTGG